GCTAAAGGAATTACCTCCAGAATCACAGTTATGCTGGATTGGAAGCAGTTTAAGGCTGTCTTTGGGTCTGCAGTAGGGTCTCTGGATAGGGATGATCATTCCTGTCTGGTCATTGGATGAATAAGACCGCTTCCTGTGTTTTGTTCAGTAAGATAGTACTAGAATAAGGACCTGCTTCAGGGTCCAGAGTTGGGCCCTTAGTCAGTGGCCTGATACCAGATACAAGGACAGCAAGAAATATCTCCCACTGGGTATTTAGACCTGTAGGAATGCTGTCAGACTATGGCTGTGAGGAAATTGGATCCAAATATAGAACCCTTTTAGTATCTCTGGGGGTGCGGATGGGAGTGTCTTCTGTCCAGTATCTGGGCCAGCAGGGCTGTTTGTAGACTGCTACTAGGATGAGCGGGAGTCCAGTTACAACTTTGAAATCTACACCCTGACTGAGGTTTGCTGGCTCCCAGACTGTGGTCAAGGGGTTGGAGCTGGTTCACAGGCTATAGCCAGGACTGAGGTCTATACACCTGTTACCTGACTCATAGATGGGCATGATTCCAGCCAAGTCCCTTAGTGTATGGTGCTGGTGACAGGAGACAAACAGCCATATTCCAGTCCTCAGGGGCATGGAGCTGCTCCCAGGACATCAGTGGCTCAGCCACCTACGTGCAAGCCTGCAATCTAAACAGGGCTCTTCTCCATACTGGACAGCACTGGAGTTTGGCAGACTCCTACCTGGATCTCCAGTCTCCCACAGAAGCACTCTTGTCCCTCTTGTCCATGGTTGGATGACAGATATGAAGCCTTGAAAACATACCTGTACATTTGAAGAAGCAAACACATCTTTCAGTCTTTATTTCCGGGTTCTGGCAGGTAAAGTCTTTCCCCTGTGGGGTCCCTGAGCCACAGGGTCTTCAGTAGGGTCCCTGGATGGGGATGGTCATTCCTGTCTGGTCATTGGATGAATAAGACCACTTCCTGTGTCTTGTTCAGTAAGATAGCACTAGAATAAGACTAGTATTATTCTAATAAGCATTAGAATAAGCGCTAGACCCTGATAGCACTGCTTCAGGGTCCATAGTTGGATCCTTAGTCAGTGGCCTGATACCAGATACATGGACAGAAAGGAATGTCTCCCACTGGGTGTTTAGACCTGTAGGACTGCTGGTAGACTATGGCTGTGAAGAAATTGGATCCAAATATAAGACCCTTTTAATATCTCTGGGGGTGCAGATGGGAGTGTCTTCTGTCTTCTGTCTGACCCAAAGACAGCCTTAAACTGATTCCAATCCAGCATAACTGTGTTTCTGGAGGTAATTCCATTGGCTTGGGGACCCCACAGGGGAAAGACTTTACCTGCCAGAACCCGGAAATAAAGACTGAAAGATGTGTTTGCTTCTTCAAATGCACAGGTATGTTTTCAAGGCTTCATGGATCACAATGAATCAGACACACATGACACCAAGAAAGGAAACTAATAATGCAAGGAAAAAGCTCTCTGCCTTTGTTAGGGTCTCTGTGAGAAAGGCAAGGCAGAGCAAGGTGAACAGGTTAGGATTGACTACTTTGAGTAATTTCAGAGGGTTTTGGGTTATAGGAGCTATACCTAGTTTCTTGGCCTTGAGATGATTAGGCAGAGGGGTATTTTCTGCTGTGGTGTGAGGGCCAGAGAGAGTGGATATGACTCCGGATTGGTTAGTTTAACCAAGAAAATGAATGATCTAGTCACTAAAAAGTGTAATGTTAATAAAAGAAATTGAAGGAGAAAAATAATGGAAAGATATCTTCTTTTCATGAATTGGAAAAACTAATTCTGTTACAATGTCCATACTATCCAAACTCATCTATAGATTTAATGGAATATCTATCAGAATTCCAACGGGAGTATCTGGGCCAGCAGGACTGTTTGTAGACTGCTACTAGGATGAGCTGGAGTCCAGTTACAACTTTGAAATCTACAGCCTGACTGAGGTTTGGTGGGCTTACTCCCAGGGCTCCCAGACTGCGGCCAAGGGGTTGGAGCTGGTTCACAGGCTATAGCCAGGACTGAGGTCTATACAGCTGTTACCTGACCCATAGACGGACATGATTCCGGCCAAGTCCCTTAGTGTACGGTGCTGGTGACAGGAGACAAACAGCCATATTCCAGTCTTCCAGGGCATGGAGCTGCTCCCAGAACATCAGTGACTCAGCCACCTACGTGCAAGCCTGCAATCTAAACACGGCTCTTCTCCATACTGGACAGCACTAGAGTTTCTCGGACTCCTACCTGGATCTCCAATCTCTCACAGAAGCACTCTTGTCCCTCTTGTCCATAGTTGGATGACAAGTTATTGTTGTTCAGAAGGCATTTGAAAGGGAGATGTCTTATTTAGTCATCAGCTGATATCACTCCTCCCCTCATTTTTGTAATCTTTGAACAATATTTTTGTACCACATGATCTAGAGAATTTTATAATTTTCCACATTGAAGTCTTATATATCTTTTGTTAAATTATTCCCAAATCCTTAATAATATCTGATACACATATGAATAGAATAATCTTTTAAATTAAATACTGTAGTTGTTTACTGCTATTGTATGGACATGCAATTGATCTTTTGTGTTAATCCAGATACCTTCATAAATCCTTCTTTAGATTGTTTTTGTAAATTATCATATAAATGACAGTTGAGTCCTACATTTGATCCCCTACATGTTAAAATTATGTTTATTATTGTATTGCATTTGTTAGATTTCTAATAGCATGTTGAACTGCATTTAGGGATAATGAGCACTGTCTTTTTCATAATTTTAAAGAAAATGCTCCTAATATTTTCCCAATAAAAATGTGTATTCATTCAGTTTGTAGCTATAATTTAGCAGCTTAATAAAATTTAGCTATTTTTCTAATTTTACTGTTTTTAAAATCATAAAATACTGTTACAGCTTATCAAATATTCCTTCTACACTTTTTGTGACAATTCTTTTTAAAATATTTTAATCTGTTAATGTCAAATATTTTTTGAGTTTTAATGTGGCATTAAACCACCACAATATTTAGGGTAATTATCCTCCAATTAAATTAATTAATTAAAATGAAATAATATGTCAAATTTAATTCTGCATTGTCTGACATTGAGCCATCAATGCCTACCTGCTATATTTACAACTTAGCCATAATGATCACCTTTTGTCATATTCAATATGTTTAAAATCCAATTTGATAATGCATATTAAGATGACATAGTTTCCTTAAATTGTGGAACATTTACAAGTTTAATAGCTAACTAAATGTGCCCCAGAAATTCCACCATAAAGGTTTTTTTGAGTTTAAATCCTCTGAACTTAAGACAATAAAACTAGAAATTAACAATAAAAATATATTGTCTAAATAAATCTACTGTACTGAAAGAACAAACCTCATCTACATAACCCTTTAATAAAAAGAATATTAAAATGAAAAATTATTGATATTGAATATAATAATGAAAGCAAATGAAAATTACATTGAAAACTATATAAAAGTCTTAAACATTTTCCATTACAGGAAAAACAGAAGATAAATCAACCAAGCCTTCAACTAATGAATTCAGAAACAAAAGATTAACAAAACCAGGAAAACTTTAGGTATATTAAAATAATCATGGAGATATGCAAATGTTCAGGAGATATTGATTAATGAACATAATGTGTGTATTTATCAATTAAATAGTACAATATTTATGAGTTGCAGTTTGGAATACATCTAAACAAAAAAAACTAGAACAGAAAACCTATGTAACACCTAGATGTCACATCATAAACTACTTTGAAAATAATTATATGGAACTCAAAATTCTAATGGTATAAAGTCAAATTCATGGCAGATTTAATTACGGATCTAAAATGGAATAAAATCCGAAGATTTAAAAATAAAAATGTATAATTACATACATCAAAAGAATTACATTACTATAAGACACTATTTTATGTCACTCCATGTCAATATTTTTTCCAAATCTAGAGGAAAATGAGGGTTTTCAATCAATATATAGATTACAAACATTACAAGAAAGAAAGTAATGAGATCAATAATATGTGTTTAGTCCCTAAGTTGTGTCCGACTCTTTTGTGACCCCATGGAATGTAGCCCACCAGGCTGCTCTGTCCATGGGACCTCCCAGGCAAGAACACTGAAGTGGGTTGCCATTTTCTTCTCCAGGGGAATCTTCCCAACCCAGAGATTGAACCCTCATCTCCTGTATTAGCAGGCAGGCAGATTCTTTACCATAAGCCACCAGGGAAGCCCTCAATAAATATAAATAATACTAAAAATACTACCAAACATTTCTTATTAAGACTCCCCCATTACAAATAGGTTTACAGCAACCATACCACATTTTTTTTAAATTTTTTGTCCCTTGATGAAATCATTAGTGTTTGGACTATTAAGGATATTATAGGTGTAATACTTTGTACCACTCCTTCATATAATTATTTGAGCAAGGCCAATGATTTATATTACTGTGGGACTTTCAACTCTCATTTGCAAAGACTGAATACTGGCAAACTCAACTATGAGTTGGAGAAAACAAATTCCATAGAAATTTTAATAGTGTCTCTTTCTTTTTCCCCCAGATATATAGATGGATATATAGATATTCATATAATCATATATATTTTCAGATACTATATTAATACATTTAGTGTGTGTATTTATTTAGCAGTACTGTATTCATGAGCTGTAATTTTGAATATACTTAAGCAAAATGTCAGACACGACTGAGTGACTGAACTGAACTGAACTGAACTGAAGCAAAACAAACAGAAACAAACCTTGTAACAAACAGATATCACACCATAAAATAACTGTGAAGAAATATATTTACATTGATTTTCATTCATTTTTTAAAAATATATTGATGTTAAAAAATAAACTCAAATTTTCAAAAATGTAGATGAATTAGTTAGAATTATTCCATAACAAATTATTACATATATTGATTTTAGTCTAGCCTATAGTTTTACAGATGGCCAGAGGTCAATGAAAAGATTTTTTTCTCAACAATATCCTTTTCACAGCATTTTTTACCTCTCTATTCCTTAGACTGTAAATCAGAGGATTCAACATAGGGATGATAACAGCGCAGAATACAGCTATAATCTTGTTCATCTCTGGTGAAGAGATGGCTCCAGGCTGGGCATACATGAAGAATACAGTTCCATAGAACAAACCCACCACAGTGATATGAGAGCTACAAGTGGAGAAGGTCTTACTCCTGCCGTGAGCTGAGGGGATCTTTAGAACAGTGGAGAGGATACATGCGTAAGAAGCCAGAATGACAGTTGTGGTAGTGATGATGATGAGGGCAGACAGAATAAAGAGTACAATCTCATTCACCGTGGTGTCCACACAGGAGATCGTGATCAGGGCTGGGACATCACAGAAAAAGTGGTCCAATCTGTTTTCTCCACAGAAACGCAAACTGAAGGTGAAACCTGTTTGGATCATGAAGTTGGTGAAGCCACAGACGTAGGAGGCAATCACCAAACGAATACGGGCCTGCTGGGACGTACAGACAGCATAGAGGAAGGGCGAGCAAATGGCTGAGGCGATCATATGCCATCACAGCTAGAAGAAAGCCTTCAGTCCCAACAAAGAGAGGAAAGAAAAAGAACTGGGTTGCACAGCCATTGTAAGAAATTCTCTTGTCTTTGGATAAGAAAGTGGCCAGAGTTCGGGGAGCAATGACGGAGAAGTAGCAAAGATCTAAATTAGGCAGATTTCTGAGAAAGAAATACATAGGGGTATGAAGTCTGGAGTTGATTTTAATGACAACTAACATGCTGATATTTCCCACCACAATGACCATGTAGATAAGCAAGAAGAGTGAAAATAAGACAATCTGTACATCTGGAGATGTTTGGAATCCCAGCAGAATAAACTCCATCCCTTCTGAGTAATTCTTATTCAGTTCACTCATCACAGCTGAGACCTATCTGAGAAAATCAGTGGATGATCACGAATCCTATGGAAAGCCTCATCAACTTTCTGTTCTTTTTAAAATTGACATATAGTTCATGTACAATATTATCTGTTACAGGTATACAATATAGTGATTCACGATTTTGAAGTTATATTCAATTTATAGTTATTATAAAATATTGGCTCTATTCCTTGTGTTGTACAATATATTGTTGTAGGTTATTTTATATACAATAGTTTGTACCTTTTACTCCCCTATCCCTATATTTCTCCTTTCACCAACCTCATCCCAGTGGCAACCACTAGATTTTTCTCTATATCTGTGAGCCGGTTTCTTTTTTGTTATAGTCACCAGTTTGTTGTATTCTTTAGATTCCATAGATAAGTGATATCATACAGTATTTGCCTTTCTCTGTTTGACTTATTTCACTTAGGATAATACCCTCCAGGTTCATCCACGTGGCTGCAAATGAGAGAAAAACATGCTATTGGAATATGAAGTTCTCTTGGCAACACATCTAACAGAATAACTTTACTTTTGGAAGGACAGATAGCCAAATATATATAAATTTTTCTAATATATTCAATGTCAATGATATGAGAAATGTAGATGGGCAAAAGATGTCTGAGACAGTGAAGCTATGAGTCATTTTATGCCATTTGTTCAGAGCTTTGGAATTAGATAGACTAAGTCCACATTTGACCTCTTTCAATCTGAAATAATCTAAAATTGCTATCTACATTTTCAATGCCTGAAGTCCTCTTCTGTGAAATGGGAGGTAATAATAATACCTACTTTATAAGGTTTTTGTGATAAAAATGTGAAACTGAGTATGAAAAGCAGTATTTGCAGTTACTGGAACTTCTTAAATTCAAAGTAAATATTAGTCAAATTAACAAGCAAATAGCCACATAAAAAATTACTTTTGTTTTAGGAATGAATATCAGGTGAAAAATTAGGTCAATTCTTTTTCCTATCACAAAATGCAGTTAGTTTGACTGTCTTAAAACAGCCTGCTATATAAAAGACATTAGGAAACATGGGGTTATAGTTTCATGGGATGGAACGAAGCGCCAGTCTTACGGTCATCTGAAATGATGGATGAACTCTTACCTCCTACACTAGCTACACACCCTTTAACCTCTACTCCTTTCCCACAACTCTGACTGCTAGTAGGCCTGCTTCCTTTTGCAGCCAGACTCCAGCACATCTTTTTCCTTTAATGTAAAGCATTAACATCTCAGTGCATGAATTATTGTTTATACAGAAGCAAACTTTATGATACAAGAAGTACAAGATTAACTTTCCTAAGAAGTATTTTTTCCCTGTCTATATTATTAATCAAACAGAAGACATTAATGGAAATACATAGAGCAAACAAAATCTGTGTTGCACAGGTTTTGCTTTTTAAAATAACTATCAATGCTTAATATCAAACACTAAAGATGTATGTGGATAAAACATCAATAATTTTAATATATCTGAAAAATTAAATCCAAGCAGAAAAGATGAAATTTTATGTTATAAATGTGTGTCCATTTCTATCTTTAATTTCTGAAATATCAGAAAAAAACTTCCCATCAATGAAATTAATGTCATATTTGAAGTCATTTTAATTTGGGCATTTTTACAAAATCAAAATTATAATAGAGTCAGAAAAATTGAAATCAATTTTGCTTCTGTTACTATTTTTTTATGAAGTAAGAAATGTTTTATTAGTTAAAAGTGTGGCATTTAACACATGTAAACCTAAGTTTTAATCCAGGTCCTGACACTCACTGGATAAGTGATCTTGGGCAAATTGTTCATATTCTATGAACCTCTGTCTCCTCATCAGCAAAATATGTCTTAGAACATCTATCCCATAGGGTGGTATTGAAAGGATTAAATTAAGTGATGTACATAAATTAAATAAAATATGTAGGACCTGGGAAATAGAAAGTGTTCATTAAGAGTGGATATATGAGAGATTGAATTTTTTTTTTCTAAATTAAGAAATCTATCTTTTAAAAAGTTGTGATTTTTTAAAAATCAGGTGCCTTACTTGAGGTTCAGCAGATACCAAAAGAAGCTCATTGGAGAATTTTAATAGCTCCTTTTTCCATTAAAATAAGCTTTGAAGAAAGTGCAGTTAATTGAAAACATGTTTAACAGTATATATTCAATCTATTCAAGTGAGGGCACTCAATAAACAGACCTATTTATTTCTAAGTCTCATATACCTTATTTTTACTTGCTAGAACCAAAAGAGGATCAGACTGACTCTTCAGTTTGACATCAAGAAATATCCTACTCTTTATATTATGCAAAGACAACCAAAAATTGCTCCTACATAAGTTCTAAATCCTTTGATCTAACCATGTAGTTATTCTTGTAAAAAAGAAAGTAAATTAGATATAGATAGACAGATAGATAGATAGATATAGATATATAGATATGTGGTCTTTCTGAAAAGTAAAAAGGGTCCTAGAGGTCAATTAGTTCATTGTTTGCTAAATTTCCCATATGTTAGAATCTGCTGGGGAGGTTTTGTTTTGCTTCACTTTTAATACTGATTCCTGGATCACACCTCCTTCTTATTTAGTCTCAATATTGAAAATTTTCCAGTGAGATGAGTGTGTAGAACATTCATTTATATTTTATGATTCTCAACTGACGACAATGAAACCAGTTCCTACTTAGAAGTTCGAGGACATGTGAATTTGGCCTCTTTATTGCTTCCTGGCAGAATAGCAACATTCTCACTCAAAGTCAATCAAAGGTATTATTAATCATACATATTCTTCTGGAAGGATATTTCCACCCTTTGTTGCATTGATTTACAAATATCCTTTCCAGGAATTTCTGTCTTCGTTCAACACAAATGTGTAATAAATATAATCCATTTCTCATTTTCTGATGCCAGTGGATATCAAAACTAGATCACTAAATGCTGCATATATAAACCATGCTCCTCCCACCCTCCACAATTCTCAGGCATTCTTTTAGTTTCTTTACATTTATACCTAATTGAAATCACTGTCTTTCTACTACTTAGGTGGATTGGAAAAGAAGTTTAATTTGTTTTGCAAAATAAAAGAGTTGACTTCTGATTCTAGCAAAGAAAAAGTAAAAGAAAGCAGATCTCTGCCTGAACCAGTAACAACAGTCTCTTTCTTTCACTCTCGCTCTGGGTATCTCTCCTCCCTCTCTCCTTCTTCCCTCTGATACATATGCCATATAGACACACATATGCATATATATAGTTCAAAACTATCTCACAAAGAAAAACTCTAGTTCAGTTTGCTGGTGAATTTTACCAAATACATAAGTAAGACCTTAATAATAATTCTACATAAACTTTTCCATAGAGTTTAAATGAGGGAATACCTCCTAATTTATTTAATGAAGCCCAGATAAAGGTGGTATTAAACCAGACAGACACAGAAAAAGAGAAGACAATACAGGTCAACATCTGTTGTGAATAGTAACATGAAATTTCTAAACAAAAATTTAGTAAATTTCAATTCAACAGAGGACCAAGGGATGTCAAAGGGATAAGACACTAGGATGAAACAGATGCTATCCCAGGAATTCATAACTGATTTATTGTTTGAAAATAATGTAATTTACTATATTAGCAAAGTGGAAAGGAGAATATATACACACAAAAATAGACATTTAATTCTGATAACTCTCAGCAACTTTTCTCAGCCTGATAAAAGGCATCTATGAAAAATCTAGGGGTAATAATATCACCCTTAATGATGAAAGTCTGAAAGACTTTATCTGAAGATCAGGAACAAGACAAGGAGATAGAAAATTATAAATATAATTGATATTAGTTTAGCAGAAACTTGTCAAGGATTCAGCATCATAAACAATTTTGTTGAAAGATTATTTTTTTTCAAATACAGCAACTGATGACTTTAAATTTAATGGGACAACTAACTTGTAAGTTGTCGTAATGGTTTGGCCTGTCTAGTCCCCTCTGATAACCTTAGGGACGACTTCAAACTGTGGCTCAGAGAGCATTTAGCGAAGTATGTCGAACCAAAGTTTTCCCACAGCAATTTGTTTTAAAAAATCAATAAATGATTAGAAAAAATTTAGTGTTTGTGTTAAAAATTTCTTCACTAGTAATAACTTTAAGTAAGAATACAAAAGGGACTATTTTGAAATATTGATTTACTTTGATATATAAGCACTTATATAAATGATTACTAAAAATGTTGATAATATTTTGATTATTACCCCTTTGGCTAACCACTGAAATAATTGAATCATAAGTCCAAACTCTTCCTATGATAAAAAAATCCTTTGTCAGATGGCAACTCCCATTAATTCCTGGAAAGCTTGAAACAGTGAATAATTTCAATGTTATACAATCTCTTCAGGATTTTTTAAATTGAGGAAAAATCTGCCATCTTTTAATGATAAGACAAGTTTAAGCCCAAAATGTGCCATGATTAGTATGAGGAAAGCAAATAATGATCTATCTTGATGACAAATATATATATACAATTCTAAATAAAATCCAATAAAACCCATGAAAAGGGATCTCAAGATAAAACAAATTCAAATGTAATGTAATTGGAAAATATTTTCCATTTTCTGTTCATCTGTTTTTTGAAACAAGCGGTGAGATCTCACAGGACTTATTTTTGGTGGGGGAAATAACAAAAGGAGGGGAGAGAAACCAAGACTCACAGTATCAGCGACAACTGTATCTTGGGAGACAGGGGGGTGTCTGGGGCTTTGCACATTGCTGGTTATTATTAGCCCAGCTCCTCTCCTCAGGACCGTCTGATGGGGATAGAAACCAGGCAACTAGGCAATAATTAGAATTCTTAACCGTCATTCTGGAAGTTCCACTCTATCACAGTACCTAGAATCTTTGCCTTGGTAGTTGGTCAGACAACAGCCACCAGATGGCAGCAAACTGCAGCTGGATCAAGCCTTTGCTTCCAGAGCCAGAATCCTCCAGGAATCTTAACTGTCCTGCTCATCCTTGCCTG